CCAGGGCAGTAGTGCGGCTTCAGGGTGAGCTGTGCCCCGTCCTCCGGCCCCTGCTGTACCGGGTGGATGGTTCAAGCAGGACTGTGGTCTGCAGTTGTTTGGCGCGTCCCTGTCATGTGACCTGTCGCGTGTCACTGTCCTCTGACCTGTCTGTCTGTACCCTGGGCGCTGTCCTCAGCTGTCCTGACCCCTGGCTCTCAGGGCGAGCCCCGTGTACCGTCCGCGTCCGTCCAATCGTTCCCTGTCCTCAGGCATCTTTGAAAGTCCCCGTCACCTGCCTGTCTGTGTGCCTGTCGTCTGTTTGCCTGTCTGTCACCCTCTAAGGCACCTCGCCTCCCCGCACAGATCAGAACGCCCAGGTCCCGGGGCCGCTGTGGGGCTCTGCCGGCAGCTGTGGTCTGCGGGGTGGCGTGCTGTGGGACGCGGCGGGCACCCCGTGTCGCGGGCCCTGACGCGCACTCTCGTCCCCAGGCATGCTCCCTGACCCCAAGAACACGCACATCGTGGTCAGCTGGATGATCGCACAGACAGTCACGGCCGTGGCCGGCGTCGTCTCCTACCCGTTCGACACCGTGCGGCGGCGCATGATGATGCAGTCGGGACGCAAAGGAGGTACGTGTGTGCGCGGGGTGGGGCGCTTGGGGGGCTGTCGGCGGCCCCCGGCCGGGTGAAGGGTTCCTCCCTTTCTCTCACCCACGCTCTGGGCCCTGGCCCCATCATCGGGCCCTGCTTAGAGCCGGGGACGTGGAGGGTGAGGCCGGAGCTCTGAACACATGAGGCCCCCCCCGCTGAGAGCAGGGTCACGGCACCGTCCCCGGCGTCAGGCCCGCGTCCCCGGGAGCAGGCGGGGTGGTGGCATGGGGTTCCGCCCTGGGCTGGCAGCCCTGCCTCCCGGGTCCCCCCCGGTGACTCCCTGGCGCCCCGCCCGCAGCCGACATCATGTACACGGGGACCCTGCACTGCTGGCGGAAGATCTTCAGGGACGAGGGCGGCAGGGCCTTCTTCAAGGGCGCCTGGTCCAACGTGCTGCGCGGCATGGGCGGGGCCTTCGTGCTGGTCATCTACGACGAGCTTAAGAAGGTCATCTAGCCGCCGCCGCCGCCCGCGAGGGCCGCCGTGACAGGGGCCAGAGACCCGTAGAACCCGCACCCGACCACACCCCCAGGGACCATGACCTTCACGACGCTGCTCGCCCGGCCGCCTCACGGC